GCCCAGCTTCTTCCCGTCCTTGTACCACGTCACCTCCGTCTTTGGCTGGGCCACCTCACAGCTCAGCGTGGCACTGGCCCCCGCCTCGGCCTGCACCTCGCTGCGGGCCGGCTGCTCCTTGGCGAACACCACCTTGGGCTCTGGAGTGGATAAGGGACACAGGGTCAGCGATGGTCCAAGCACCCACAGTCTTGACTGCCAAACCCTGGTCCTGCAGGCCCGTCTGTCACGCTAGATTAAGCTGCCTCTGCTGCTCAGCTGCTGCTAATTCTCTGAACAGGCATCCTCAGAGCCTCTCTGTCGTCCTGGGCTCTGATAAGACCTGACTGTTCTGCAGTGTGAGCCCAATCGTCCTCTCCCTGGGCACTCCAGACATGATGCCTTTGTGACCTCGCTCCTATTGCTCGGGACAAATCTACAGAACAACAAGGCTGTCTGCTGACCTCTTTGTCCCTCTGCTAGTTTTTACTCTTACCTCTTGCCATCTGGCCCCCTGCAATTCACGATGATGTGTCTAGTGAGGATTTCTTCTTTCTTTTCTTTGTTTTGTTTTGGAGTATGTGGAAGCAGGGGCTGAAGCCAGCTGCTCCCAGCAAGCTGTACCCCAGCCAGGTGCATCTTTTACTGTGAGTTCCTCTCCTTGATGCTTATCTGTCCACACTGTGGAGTGTGGCCCTGTCATGGAATCTTTCACGCCCACGGGTTAATTTCTCGCTCTAAGAACACTGGTAATTCTAGCATTAGTCCCTCTGTGTGGTCACAGCTTACCTGCTGGCTATGGTCCACACCCACCCTAGTCTCGTGGCTCAACCTGGCCCTACCTGCCATTCTGTAAGCCACGTTCTCTGCCTGCCTGCAGCTATGCTGCTATGCTTGTCCTCAGGTCATGACACACTGGCCACCTGCAAGGGGCAGCAGCTCTCCGTGGTCTGTCCCCTAAGGCACACCTCGGTCCAGTCATCTGGACGGCCCAGGCCACTCCCTGTCATGCTCTGGCTAACTCTTGCCCCAGGTTCAGCAAGACAGAGCGGTCCTCCACCTGTCCACATTGGCCCTCCTCCCTGTCCACCACCCACCGAGGCAGGAAGAGCCCTCCCTGTCACCCTGCCCTGCCTCCCACATCCACATCCATCCTCCCTGTGCACCCAGTCTAAGCCTGTGCCTCTGTGTCCCTTACCCAGGAGGCAGAAGCACCCCGTGTCCAGGATGCCTCAGACAACAGGCACCTGCCTTTCAACATCCGGCCAACTCCAGATGTGTGTTGGGATGTCTCCCGTTACTACAGCACAGCACCCGAGATGAGGATTACATCAGAGAGAAGCCATACTCAGCTCTGCGTTAGGGGGCCAGAGCCCAAAGCCAGGCTGTCCTCTGCTCAGCCCCTGGAAAGGGCCCAGCTGCAGCCCTGCGGGCAGCCAAGGATACACAGGGTGAGCACACATGAGGCAGAGGTCAGAAGGCTGGGCTGGCAGGCTGGCTCCCTGCACAGCAACTCACTCCCTCAAGATCGCAGCCCGAGACCAGCAGGAAGCTGTCGGCCACGTCTGTAGTCCCAGTGCTCTGGGAGGCTAAGGCCAGAGGATCAAAAACTGAAGCTCAGCCTGAGTTAGTTCGCAATTTAGCAAAAGCCCGTCTCAAAATAAAATAATCTTAAAGGGCTGGAGATCTAACTCAGTGCAACAGCCCTGGGTTCAATCCCCAGTACAGGAGAAAACGAAAGGCACAGCCCAACGACCTAACCACCACTTGCCCCCAGGGCCCAACTCAATGGCCACACGGAAAACCACGCTAATGACATGGGACAAACCACATTCAGACCATCGAGGCAGACAGCAAGTAAGATGTAACCATGACGATCACAGGGTAAAGCAGAGCAGGGCAGGGCAGCACGTCTAGGGGCAGAACCCTGCAACACCACTGAAATGAACTCCAACCATCGCTCGTAAAGGTGTAAATTCCAACACCAGGACAAACCACAAAGAAAAAAACAAACTTGCAGAAATGAGAAGAAACTGAAAATGCTGCATTAAAAAAAAAACCAACAGATGGCTGAGAAGCAACCATGGAAGAACTGAAGAACACGAAAGACAGGAACAAACAGCAAAACACCATAGTGCCCTTTCCCACCAGGACTGCTGCATCTGCAAACAGTCCAACTCTCCAACTGAAAAAAGTGGGCTTAAAAGAACATGGTCCAGCTGTCTACAGCAGATTCACTTCTGATTCAAAGACACAAACCGGCTGACCCCGAAAGAGTAGACCATGAAAACAGCAACCAAAAAGCACTGGGAAGGCTTGTGGAAACCAGGCCAAACAGACTTTCAGACAAGGCCGCAGAAGAAACATGGAACACCGCACCTCAGTGACATAAGCCCTCCAGAAGACATAAACACACACACACCTGGCACGGAGTCCCAAAATACACACGGTGGACCAAAGGAAGAAACAGGTTCTGCTAGGCTGCTTGAAGACTTCATGCCCACTCCTCTAATGAGTGGAATAACTATGGAAAAGATCAACACCGCAGTGACCAGATCTAACTGACTTGGGTAGATTATCCCACCAAACACAGAACACTTTCTCCTCCCCACATGTGCATGGAACACGTCTAGGGCAGAACATACCAGGCCCACGAATCGAGGGTCAACACATCTGCAAGGACAAGGGTCAGGTGAAACATGGCCTGTGACCATAACAGAATGAAGCTTGAAAACAACAGGCGAAGAATTCACAAATATATGGGATTAAATGGTATATTCTTAAAAGAAATTAAACAGAAAATGAGAATATACTATAAGGCCAAGTGTAGTGGCACACACCTATAATCCCAGCACTCAGGACACTGAGGCAGGAGGATCACCATGAGTACAAGGCCAGTCTGGACCACACAGTGAGTTCAAGATTGGCCTGAACTATATAGAGCAACCCTTTCAAAAAAAAATACTTTAAAATAAATGGAAATAAAAATAACATAGTGAGATTTATGGGATGCACACAGGCAATTCTCAGAAGGAAAGAAGGAAATTTGCTGTGAAGGCCTGCATTGTAAAAAAGAAGAAAGATCCCAAGAGAATACCCCAAGAAAAAGGACAGATCAAATTATTAAAATCAGAAAAGGGGAGATATCAATTCAGACTTTACAAAAATGAAAAGAACAGTAAGAGGAGACTATAAACAACTGAATGTGACCGAGTAAGATAAGGTAGACAATATGGAAAGACTCCTAGGAATAGAAACACCAGAACTTACTCAAGGAGAAACAGAAAAATCTGAAGAGATTTATCTTAAGTAACACAGATCAGTAATAAAAAAGTAAATAAAAGACATTTAGATCAGAAATGAAGAAGTAAAATTATGTCTATTTGCAGATAATATGGCCTCATGTAGAAAATCTTCAGGAATCAACAAAAGAACTATTAGACAAATAAGTTTAGCAAGGTTGAAGGATACAAGACCAATATATAAACATCAATTCAATTTCTGTAATAATTATAAATAAACAATCAAAAGTGAAATTAAGGAAACAATTCCAGGTACAGTGATATAAAAAATAAAATACTTATCAGCAATAAGTTTACAAAATTAGTGCAAGTTTTATACAGTGAAGATACTATTAAAAATTTTTAAAGAGCTACATAAATGGCCAGGCATCCCATATTCACTCCTGAAAGATTGTTGTTAAAATGGCAAGTCACATCAAGTTAATCTACTTATTCAAAGCAAACCCTATCAAAAAACAAGAGTGATCCTAAAATTAATGTGGAAATTCAAGAGATCCTGAATAGCCAAAATAATCTTTTAAAAAGAAAAAGAACGAAATTAAAGGGCACACTTCCCAATTTCAAAACTTTCTGTAAAGTTAATCAATAAAAGTTTACCCTTATCTTTCACCCCTTTAAAAAACAATCAACTCCAAATAGAAGACTATAAGGTAAGCCTTGAAATTCTGAAACTACTGGAAGGAGACACAGAGGAAACCCTTTAAGACTTTCCTTAAGATGGGCATCACAGTGCACACCTGTAAGCTTAGCACTGTGAGAGGCAGGAGGCTTCCAAATTCAAACTGGGGAACTTAGTGAAACATGTCTCAATATAAAAAATACTAGAAGGACTGGGGAGGTAGCTTGGTGTGAATGCCCTCAGTTCAATTCCCAGTACCACACACAAAGAAAGACATCAGAATAGGCAATAATTTTTTGCATATGATCCCAAAAGCACAGGAAACATAAGCAAAAATAGACAAAAGTTTCTGAACCACAAAGGAAAGAACAGAGTGAAAAAACGACCTACAGAATGGAAGAAAATCTTTGCCAGCTGTTCATATGACAAAGGATTAATACCAGGAATAGGTAAAGAACTCAAACACCTTTTTAAAAAACAATTTGATTTAAAGATGGTTAAACGAGCTGACTAAACACTTCTCAAAAGAATTACAAATGGCCAATAAATACATGGAAAGCTGTTCAGCATCATTATCCATCAGGGAAATACAAATCAAAATTACAGTGAGGTAACGTCTCATCCCAGTTGAATTGGCTATTATTAGAAAAAACGAAAACCGCACACACTAATGGTGGAATTAAGTTAAGCACAGCCACTATGGAAACCAGCATGTGAGTTCCCTGGAAAACTAAAATCAGAGTCACCATCTGATTCCACCCTCCACTTCTGGGCATACACCGAAGGGAACACAGCCAGCACACAAGCACTCCCTGCATACCACATCCACTGTGACACCATCCTCAACAGGCAAGACATGGGACCAGCCTGGGTGTGGAGCAGCTGTGGTGACAATGGGACAGCATTCAGCCTTAAAGAGGAAACTCTGCCATGTGCAGCAAACTTAGGTTGAGTACACACACGCAAGTATGCATGTT